TCTCGAACCGTGTTAGAGCGAATCCGTGCTATAGAAGTGCCGTGTTATACGGGGGTTACCTGTATTCTAAAACATAAATTCAAAACTTTTTAATATAACTGGTTTTAAACATAGATATTCTCAAATATTTTTATAATTTAATAAATAATGCAAATGATTAAAATTTTAAACTCACCAACATTTTCTGCAAAAACGGAAATAAGTTGTCGTTGGCAGATCTTAGATTTAGCAGAAACTACAACACTAGAACGACAACTATCTTCAAAAATGATATCAACTGCATCATTCGATACTGAAGTCCTGTAAAGAACACTTTTCATTATTATATGTAATTCAGATTCATTAAATTCAGTTAAATTCAGATTATATTTAAAGATAATTCTTTAAAATATTTCAAATTTATGCCTTTGTTTTTATAAAATTCAAAAGTTTTGATTTATTTGAAAGTTGATTCACTATATGAAATATGTAAAGTTATAATGCAAGCCATGTTTTATCTGAATTTCTATCTAATATAAGAAAAAAAGATATGAAATGACATTAATTTTGTTATTAGTTTTCATACTTTTTTAAATTTTTGAAAAATATTTGTCATATAAAATTTTTCTTTTTGTGATTACTTATTTAACTTCTATTCTTATTAGGTATTTCTTATTTATCTTTTAAGGATATTTTAATCTTGATATATTTCAATATTAAATAATAATACCTTTACATTCTATTCATTATTATTTTTTCATTCTGTTATGATTTCAGCAAATTATTTGATTCAGGCAGAAATCATTACAAAATAGTACAGAAAAGTGAATTTGATAATAAAAGATCAAGACAGAAAAAGTATTATATCATATTATGAATTAAAAACATATTGAATAAAAAGCCAAAGAATTCAAATTTTACTAAATATACCAAAAAACAACAGGAAAAGAAAATTTCCATTGCATTTATAAAAAATTTAATTACACTGGACGACAAAAAAAATAACGCATCATGAAGGACTTGTTGGATTTGAATAAAAATTGATATGTTGCATCATCTTAGCTAGATATGTAAATGATTAGCTTTTGAGAGTAGGTTCTTGTGTTATATCATCACCAGAGAAGAAAAAATGTTTCCGCTGCCTGGTATAAAGGTGCATGCTGTGACGACTTGTGCATATGTTCTGCGCTTTTATTCATGGTTTTGACTTCATTGAGTGACAGACATGCCTCTACGACGCATTCGACAGCCTTACACTCAGTTAAGTGAGTTTGAGAGAGGTTGCATTGTTGGATTGAGAGGAGGAGGATGGTCATACCGCCAGATTGGCCGCCATCTAAACCGTTCTGATAGAACTGTTAGGATGTGTTATGAGCAGTGGGTAAGTAGGGGTACACACGAATGGCAAATGGGTTCCGGACGCTATCGACAGACCACCAGAAGGGAGGATCGTCTCATTGTACATCAAGCATGAACAGCGCCTACAGCTTCATCGTCTACCATTCATGCAGCGGTGGCACCTGCATTACGGAACCGTGTATTCAGCTGCACCATTTCCAGGCGCTTAGTAGAAGGCGGATTGATCTCCTGACGCCCAGTATGTGTTCTATCGTTAACAGCCACCCACCGACGCCTCCGTCTGCAGTGGTGTCGTGCATGACAATCGTGGACCACTACTGACTGGCAGCGTATTGTGTTCAGCGACGAATCCTGCTTTTGTTTGGGGGCTCACGATGGCCGTGTGAGAGTATGGCGGCCCGCTAGTCAAGGTGTCAACCCGGCCTATACTGTGGAGCGGCACATAGGCCCAACCCCCAGGGTTATGGTGTGGGGAACCATAACATACGACAGTAGGGCACCTCTAGTTGTCATGCATACTACCCTCACAGCCCAACGATATGTGCAATACATCCTCCAGCCACATGTGTTGCCTCTCACGGAAGTGCTTCCGACAGGCATATTCCAGCAGTGTGTGCCCGGCCACACACTGCAGTGGTCTCCCAAGCATGCCTACGTAACGTTGCCACACTTCCTTGGCCTGCACGGTCTCCAGATTTATCATTAATTGAACATGTGTGGGACCACTTGGGTCGCCAGCTGCGACAGCCACAGGATCTGACGCATCTTGAGTCCCAATTGCATCATGCATGGACAGATATGCCTCAGAACATTATTCGTGACCTTTGTGCCTCCATGCTGAGGCATATCACAGCTTGTATCCGCGCTAGAGGCGGCCCAACAGGATATTAGTACCTGCACTGTATTGCATATTACTGCACAATAAAGTATGTTTTTGTTTTATGGTTGCAATCATATATCTGTCTAGCAATGACGATGTCATATACCAATTTTTATTCAAATCCAACAAGTCCTTCATGGTGCGTTATTTTTTTNACTTCAATATTTGTGGCGGACAGACATAAAGTCGAATAAAATGACTAAAACTTGATTTTTATTTTTCCATATAATTTTTTGACGAACGACGTATAATCGGGAACGACGTAACTCGAAACGACGTAAGTCGAGGTATACCTGTATTTCAAAACTATTAAAAAATAAAATTAGCTTATTTACATAAGGCATTTAAATCCTGTTAATATAATATAATTACAAAAACATAAAAAATATTATTTTATTAATACTTGCAAAAATATTTTTCTAACTCCAAATTTCAAATTGATAATTATGATGAAATATTATCATTATTCAGTTAACAATAAATAAAATTGTCAAATAAAAATTTAAGTTTAATTAATTTAAAGTAACCAAAACTATTCAAATCAGCTAAAAATAAAGTTTTGATGTTATTTGGAAGGAGAAAATTTAGTTAACTCTCTTGCTAATTTAAAATCTTCAACTTGATTTAATTTAACTAATATAACTTAGCACTTCATTTATTAGACTCAATATCCTTCTTATATTCAATTATTCTAATTTTTAAGAATTATTCTGTAAAATTACATAGTATAGTATTTGACCTACATTTACGTTCACCCAGTTTAAATGTTCATTATTCAAAATTTTTTCTCTAAAAGATTTATATAATAACTTCATAAAATATAACAAATCAGTTATTAATACTTACCATATATATGCAAAATTATTTTATTTATAACTGTTACAAAATTTTTGGTAAAAACTTATTTACATTAAATATTATTATGTAGCTATAATAAAGATTATACTTGCATACTCAGATTGATTATAATTTTTAAATAAATTAATATATATTATAATCTTAAAATAGCATTATTAGATTATTATATGTATATAATAAAAAGATAGCAACTGACCTTTCCTTTTGTTAATTTTGCAACATCCAAAACCAAATGAACCAGATGAACTAGTAAAAAGAAATTTCTGCAGAACAAAGTAAAGCAGATAGAATAAAAATTAAGACCAGATAAGAAGTTGTAAATGTGCTATATTAGTAATTAATAAATAAATTCATCCACCACCTTTAAAGAAAAGTATTGATTAAAGTCATTAAAACAGTTATTTTTTTTAATAAAAGCATTACTTCATTTATGTAATATTTAGTTATAAAATTATAATGTATAAAAAAACTGAAATATGTAAGATATCATGTATCATATCTTAAGTATTTCAATTTTAAAAACTTTTAAATAATTGCCAAATTTATTTTGTATATATGAGTAATAATTTTTTTTATAGTAGTATAATGTTTTATAATTAAATTATATAATCTGTTAAATTATAAATAAAAATATAATAATAAAAGTAAGATTATTTTCTAATCTACATTCCTGTCAAGCAAAATTATCATCAAAAACAATCTTTTAAACACAAGCTTTAAATACATTCATTATAATTTTAGTAAAGCCATTGCAATTTATATAAACTCAATGATGTCAATTTTGTAATACACACATTATTATTATTATATTACCTCTATTAATAACTATACTAAAATATTTGTATTATGATTTATATATTGATATGTTTTGTATCAAAAAGTACTAAAATTAACTCATTATTGTAAGTTATTAATTTACCATTTGTAGCATCCTTCAGAGATGCTAAGTGTGTAATTAGTAGGTACATCAATATTGCATGGTAATAATACAGTCGGTGATGTAAGGCGATTATTATCTATATACTGGATTAAATTACAGATTATCGTAATAGCAAATATCCACATGGTCTTACGTGGCACAAAAACTATGCAAATTCGAAATTCTATTACTTGTCAATCCAGTTTTTCTTTACAGATCACAAGCACGCGCTTTGAATTGTGGGATAGAAAATAGTTACACGTGGATTTGTTTACAATCAGCAGTGCCATCTGCATTGTTACTTATACGTCGTTAAGTCGTAAACAACTTTTGTTTACGTAAATATGAATGAAGTCATACTCAAATAAATATATCGAAAATTCTTTAATTGGTTTAATGTAAATAGGGATAGTGGGATTTTTAAAAGTTAAATAAATAAACGTTTATTTATAAATCGGAATTTATTTACTTTTAAAAGTAAAAGAAAACATAGACTTAAAGTTCAAACGGATTGAACACTTTCGCGATGTAATAAAATGTAATTTACGAATGAAATCACATTAAAAACATAGAATATTTCATGAAATTTTATTTTATTTTACAGTACATAAAGTACTGTAATAAAGATTACCGATATTTATAGTTACGTATAAGGGGCAAGTGGGCACTTGCCCATCCATGGTATCGAGTAAAAAAAATATTGATATACTGTAATTATTTATTTCAAAACTTTGTTCCCCTGGAAAATGTTATGCTGACGCTCGTATGCACATATAAAATTAAATAAATATTAAGGAAGCGTAATATATATATTAAGAAAAGAAAATCAGAGATGTAAACAATGCAGAATATACACTTTACACATGTAAAAATTGTTCACAATTTTCAATTAAAATTTCGCAAAGATAGATAAGTTTGTGCAGACAATTCGATATTTACATTTTATAATGCAAATGTAAAAATTTTGTTGATAATTAATTTAATTCCTAAAAAACTTTTTTAAGCAAACTAATGACGTTTTGTATACACAAGTACTGTATGTTATTAATAGAAACTACTTGTCCAAAGATTTATCGACTTTGATCTATTTCATTCTGTACGAATTCAGTAACGGTTTAGATAATTGATGACAGCTGAATAGAGTCGTAATACTTTTTTGATTTATCTGATTCTTTAAAAATTATGTAGGCCTAATACAATGCATCAATACTATAAAATCGATTACAGTAATTTTAAATAATATTCTATTTTACGCTTTCTTAGTTCTCAGTATATACCTATTTTACTGTTTCATCGATGATTAAACACTTTTCAATACAGGTAACCTCCGTATAACACGGCACTTCTATAGCACGGATTCACTCTAACACGGTTCGAGAATTGGTACCATCCCCCGTATAACACGGTACTTTTATAGCACGGATTCACTCTGACACGGTTCGAGAAATGGGTAAAACCCTCGTACAACATGAAATGTAATAAATTTTTACATACTTAAGTACTAATAGTTCACGAAAATTATTATTTTCGTGAACTATTAGTACTTCAGTGTGTAAATTTTCTTTTCTCGTCTCCATACACATGGTCCTTCGCGAAAATTGTTTCAATTTTGCCAGATCTCGACGCTTCTGCTTCTGGTGTTGCCAGATGTTTTTCCCTTATTCCATAAGTGCTTAGCACCATATAAGGAAATTTATAAAGATCTTTTAACTAGAAGCAAGCAATCTAAAATTACATACACTTTTTGCAAAAGGTAAAGCATGAATCTGAAAATAATGCAGAAAAATGCTCAGAGGATAAGGATAACTTGCCAAAAATAAAACGCTCTCGGTTAATAGTGCTTTTAGTGATGACAAAGAAAACATTGTTTAATTTATAATAATATGTATCACTTTAGAAAATTTTGATAAAGATATTTACCTTAATTATGAAAATATAGTAGCATGTTTTTTAATTTTTGGAACCTAACCCTCCTTTTCGTACTAGTTCTTTGTTTCGCATAACACGGATTCGCATAACACGGCAATTTTTTGGAACGTAACTACCGTGTTATACGGGGGTTACCTGTACAAGGTGAGTCAAAAGTCCTTTGCACTGTTTTCATTCCAAAACTACCGAAGATATATTAATTTTGCTTAATTAATATAGATATTTAGGAAGTCATATATGGAGAATCGGAGGGGATAGGCCTACTTTTCTGTTGACTTGAATGTAATTTTCAATCTTCAGGAATCAGTATATGGAATCGTCCATAAATCACGTAATGTTATTTTTATATTTTTCAACGCTCTTTTTATACTTTTATGCCATCCCACTCCCTAACCGTTAGTAATGCATCAAACATACCCATCCCTAAAATTACTTAATGCATATCCTAGATCGACTCCCTTAAGGAATAATACATAGCACGAAATACTTTGCATTATTTTATTAAAAATTAAATTGAAGACACAGTCTGTTGAAAAAGGAATCACCGTTTATTCACTTTCAATATTCTGGAATATAGTACAAACTTTTAATTTTATTAATTACGTATAATGATATAAACAGCGAGGTTTGCTATGCATCATTTCAACGACAAAAATTAATCCTTCTGTTACCAAAGGATTGAGATCATACCGTGTTTCCCCGAAAATAAGACATCCGCAGAAAATAAGACCTAGTACCTGTTTTGCTGAATTGCGAAATATAAGACCTCCCCCTGAAAGTAAGACCTAGCGAAGTTTTTTTAGTCGTAACGGTCATCGACAGATGGTTGAAAGTGGCTGTTGGCTTTTTCAAAGTACAGCCACTGATTGGTCAGCAGACAATTACGCCACGCGGCATGATTTGCATAAGACTATGGCTTGGGAATCACAGATTTGCATAACGTTACAGCTAGTGATG